GCACAGTTACCGCACAGTTACCGCACAGTTACCGCACAGTTACTGCACAGTTACCACACAGTTACCACACAGTTACCGCACGGTTACGGCACGGTTACTGCACGGTTACCGCACAGTTACGGCACAGTTACCACACAGTTACCACACAGTTACTACACAGTTACCACACAGTTACCACACAGTTACGGCACGGTCACAGCACAATTACCGCACGGTTACGGCACGGTTACGGCACGGTTACTGCACGGTTACTGCACAGTTACCGCACGGTTACCGCATGGTTACGGCACAGTTACGGCACAGTTAGGAGGGAAAGATTTTTCTGGTTTGATGACTCAAACTGATGAGACAGAGCATCTGGTTTTACATCCTCAGAGCCTCGATGTAAGTGGTGGAAAAGCTAAATCTACTGAAGAACAGAGACCAACACGGTTGTCTTGACTTTAACCGTTCAGCAGACTGTATGTAGGAGAGGGTTTTATGATCTGGCCATACTGTGAATACCAGTTCGGCCCACTTCAAGCAACGTGGCCACTCTTCTAGCTCGACCCCCGGCAGCTCACAGTCCTGACATCCTTTCTGCTCAGTAGACATTCGATGTTGAGGAAAGAAAGCTCAAAGATGGAGGCGGAGTTTTAATAACACCACGCCTACACAGGAGTCTGAAGTATCCACTTCCTAAGTAAACTAAAGTTTGGGCGTGGTTAAGATGGGTGTGGAGGTGAACTACTGCTGGGCCACACCAGACTCTGACTGGTTTTCTGCTCCCCCCAGATTATTACAGTATTAGAGAGTAATGGCTCTTTTGTGTATGTAGAAAATGTTTCAGGTCTTTGAATTCAGCTCATGAAAAATGGGAGCAAAAACAAAAGTGTTGATATTTTTGTTTAGTGTACTTAACAGAAGGTTGGTGATTCAACCCCTAACAGTCTGCACGGGCACGATACCCGAACCCTAACCCCAAATTGCTCCATTGGACTATCAATGTGTGTAAATGTTGGATAGAAAAACTGTACGAAAGGCCGAATGAGGCAAGTTGTGAAAAGCACTTTGAGTGCTTAGTACAATAGAAAAGAGCTGCAGAAGATCGGTTTACGATCTGTTTTGCACAGGGAGCGGTCGTTTGCTGACAGAATTCATTATTGTTGTTGCAATTTAAATCCAGTTTGAATCAACACTGTGTTCCTCCATCACCTGAGCTCAGCCCTTTCTGAGGTCTGCATCAGCTCGATGACCACAGCTGTCCGCTGCAACACTTAGCAGCTGAACAGTTCCTCCGATAACTGTTGCGGCTTCACTGACATAAGGACAGTTACAGAAAATGTCTACCTCACATCACAATAAGATGTCATACAATGTAAGCACCTTATTTTATTAGTTTGAGCCTGTGTTTCATTGCTTTTATTAACTTTACTACTGGAACATGGGTGTAATGTCACTCAGAGCTCCAGCATTCGATGTCTGAGGTAACTAGACTGCAGAGTCAGCTGTGCAAAGTAGGAAGGCACATTAGACTAGAGGTGAGAGTCCTCGGTGATGCACAGGGAGCTGATGCAAAGCTAAGATAAGTCTGGGTAAGAAACACAGCACAGAGAGAGCAGAAGAACAGACAGTGACATTTTTTGGTGCACTTAATAAAATAACACTTAGAGAAGGTAGTAGACTAACCATTTAATCTGTGTGTGTGTGTGTGTGTGTGTGTGTGTGTGTCTTAGATCAAACCAAGCAGACATGGCAGCAATATATTATGAGAAAATTGATGTGGAGGGCCATCACTTTGGTCCAGACTCTCGTCAGGTCAAAACAGCTGTGCAACAACTGGATCTTGCGATGCAGAAACTCAACAGCAAAATCAAAGTAATAAAACCATAACTGTCATTACGATGGAAGATTCTGCAATGTTTCCTGTCATGTGGTTTGTTTTCATGTTCTTTCATTCTTTCGATGTTTTCATTCATGTTTTTGTTCCTGCAGGAGATGAATATGGTGAACCAGCTGAACATAATGTTGTTTTCAGACCACGGTATGACAAAACTCCACTGGATGGAGAAGGTCATAGAGCTGGATAAGTACATCAACATGGCAGACATCGTCAAGATGATGGACAGAGGCCCAGTGGTCAGTCTTTGGCCTGAAGAAAACAAGTTCCAGGAGGTGAAACCAGAGTCGTTGGCTCTCTCTGTGCACTATGAGTCATTTCTGTGAGCACTCGCACTCTTGTGCTGTTGTGATTGTAATCACAAGCATTTTATGTCATGAAACTTGTGACTGTCAGGAAACGACACCATAGTCAAATGAACGAGCCAATGGTTGTATTACATACAGAATAAGACAAGTATTAGATCATAATATTTTTCAATAATGCAGCGTTTCAGCTGAATTCAATAATGACAACACAGTTACAATGATGTCATCAAATATTGTTTTTCCCTGAGCACTTACACCTGTCTGTAACTTTTGAGGACTAGAGATATGAAAAGGATTTTGTATTTTTATTGCACGACAAAACAAGATAAAGTGCAAACTGTGACATGGGCTGAAGCAACTACATTATATCTAACACATCAGCTCTGTGCAAGCATCCACACGAAACACACAGAACTCTGTGGAACTGTAACAAAAAACCACTGTTTCTACTCGAGACAGGAAAGCCACATAAAACTTGCCCTGACCAGCTTGGAGAGCGAAAACCAAGATGAACTTTTACCATAATTATGTGATGAAAATGGTTGAAGAAGGAAAGGAACAAAGCTCACCACATTATCTGTCAAACACTTTAAAGGCAGAGTTATGGGATGCACATATAGGTTTACCAAGAGAGTCAGGTCCTTGGTATTATTAACGTTGTGACTGTTGATATAAGTAGTAGGATAAAAGTGCACAGGGCTGTACTGTTTGCTCAGATTGAGACAAATGCTGCAAAATGGATTGGACAGCACTTTATGGTGCAAATGAATAATGATGCAAATCATACTGCAAAGCAACCCAACTTTCTCATGACAGAGAAATTGGATATTGCTTCATGGCCAAGTACGTCACCTAAGTCACGGGCGATCGTGGCTCAAGAGTTGGGAGTTCGCCTTGTAATCAGAAGGTTGCCGGTTCGAGCCCCGGCTCCAACAGTCTCTGTCGTTGTGTCCTTGGGCAAGACACTTCACCCGTTGCCTACTGGTGGTGGTCAGAGGGCCCGGTGGCGCCAGTGTCCGTGTCAGTGCGCCCCAGGGTGGCTGTGGCTACAATGTAGCTGCCATCACCAGTGTGTGAATGTGTGGATGTGTAAAGCGCTTTACAAATACAGACCATTTTACCTGATTTCAGCCCATTCTTTCAATTCAGTTCACAGACAGTGGAGGTAACTGTAGTAAAGGCTAGAGATGGTAATTAATAAGAATGTAGGGATTCTGATTCTGTTATTGGTTGTCTCTGGGTTCTCACTAGCTCCACTTTACATTTGTGCACATTTATTGCATGTTGTAAAGCTGAGGCTACAGTTGCACACACCAACACACATCCAAATCCTGATGAGGACTCACATATGACCTTTAGTATTTTGCTATGAACACAAAGCCAACCAAAAACAAAGATGAAGCACAAAGAGACTTCAAGGCGATCGCCACGGTGATTCTACTGTAGAAACCTGAGCAGGTAGAAAGGCTGGTGCTTACCTGATTTGCAGCTCACAAAGGACCGCCCACTTCACCGTGGTCGAGGTACGAGGTAGCTCTTCTGTGTTGTGCCATCCTCTTCGCCAGAGGTTGTTTGGTTTCCTCGATGTATAAATCCTGCACTTAACAGCGTACTCTATCTTACTCTGTTTGTGTCGGGGACCCGATCGTTGGGGTGGACCAGTTTGTGGCGCAGCGTGTTTTGGGGTTTAAAAGACACAAAAGTCCTTCTCTCCTGGATCATCTGCAGCTTTCTTTAGGAGCTTTTCCAGCTTTGACAAAAGTCCAGCTGGGATAACCACATTTACTCAGGGCCTTCTTGATGTTCTTCCCTGGCTGCTGTGTCTGTGGGGATGGTGTTCGTTCTGTGTTGTAGCGTCCTGATGACGCCCAGTTTGTGCTCCAGTGGATGATGAGAGTCAAACCTTAGATACTGATCCGTATGTGCAGGTTTACGGTACACGTCAGCTTTAGATGTCCCCCATTACTGATGGAAATCTCACAGTCTAAGAAGGCTAACCTGCCACTGTTCATATCCTCCCTGGTGAATTTGATGTGTCGGTCCACCGAGTTAATGTGATCCGTGAGTTGTGGTACGTCCTGAGATTTGATTTTCAGCTGGGAAACACTGGGGAAAGGTACAAAGGGAAAAGGACCGAAAAATACACAGACAGGTGATGAGGAGAGTGGAAAGAGCAGAGGAACAAACAGCTGGAACAAACAGATGTAACAAAACAGGGGAAACAAAAGTGGACACAAAGCACATGAGACGAGGACGGTCAAAGACAGGAAACACAGCGAGAACAGAGACAGATGCACAGAGTCAAGACGCTCAAACCTGACACTGGAAGAGAATAACAAACACATGACAGACATACAGAGGGAGATATGACGGGCTGGGGAGACCAGGGGACGAAAGGACTAAGGGACAAGAGGAAATCAAACGACCTAAAGTCATCTGAATTACACAAAAAGAGACTTAATACTGACAGAAAACAAAAAGCACAAAGAGACTAAACTGAACCAATAGAGACCAGGAACATAAATCGATGAGCAAGATCACAACAATGAAAAGTAAACAAGAACAGCAAACACTGGGTCAAACACTGCTTTTCTTTTTGTTTATTATT